TCAAGGAGAGTTATAAAGAGTACATTGATTGGAAGTCATAATTGAGAGTCGTGGAGTAGAAACAAGATCAAGATTAGGGGGGTGCAAATGAGTTGAGTCGAGCTCAAGCCATGGGTTATTAGAGTCGAACTCGACTATTTAATACTAAGCTCGAGCTCGACTCATCTTCAAGTAGAGCGGCTCGTTGAGCTTAGTCCTGAGCTCTATTATCAACCTCATATCGTCTGTCATCCCTTGTCTAACATCGTGTCCGTCTTCTCAAACTCAGCCGTCGATATCCTTCGTCCCGAGCTCATAATCTTCTTTGTCGCCTCTTCCCGAACTCCAATGACAATATTGTTTCGAGGATCTGAGCTCATAGTAAAAAATGACAGACGTCGTCGTCCAGATTTTCTCCTTCGTCTTCTCGAACTCTCGTTTGTCATCATCGTCCAGAGCTTGTCCGTCGTGGAGATATGCGTGCAAGCTTTGTCGATTTGATCTTCCTGCTCGTGAGCTACGTCATTTTTTATTTTCCGCTCACGAGCTCCATTTCTGAAAATTTCCTGCCTGCGAGCTCCATCGTTGAGCTGTTCGTCTATCCTATGAGTCGAGTATGAGGCCTGTTCGAGCTCGAGCTCTATAAGCCTTCGAGCTCGAAATTGTGTTCGAGTTTTACTCTCGAGCTCGATAAGCTCGACTCGTCAAGCATGTTACTGAGTCGAGTCCGAGCCGGCTCGAGAGTCAGCTTGACTCGGTTGCACCCCTAATCAATATATCCTCAAGATACCCTCAATTGAATATATAATACATATATACTAATTACTTATATTGACATTGATTTTTGTATATTGATATTATATGAATATTAATACATCAATGATAAGAGTACATATGATTGTAATGGTGTCATGCCAATAAGAATACAAATAATATTGATGATATTTGATATATGAAAAGAGTACTACCATTATTGATATATTACAGAAAATACTATATAACATATATAACATATATTTCAACATCATTACAATTGAATTATTGACAAGATAAAGTGAATGATATGATTGAGAATGATTGAATGATCATGACAGAAGAAGATTCAATGTGTGAATGGTACAAATAACATATATTTATTAATAAATTTATTTATAGAATTTATGACATGTTATTTTTTTGTTGCATTGATTGAAGTTGTAAGATTTTTGTTATTGCTGAGCTTTTATATTCATTATATGGCTTTACATGTTTTCACGAAAGGATAAGGAACCTATGATGTGAAACTCCAAACAATATGTTTAGTTTTCTTTTTGACACATGTAGTTCATTTTGTAGTCATGATATATTTATTGATACGTACTAGTCTTTTGTATTATGACTATGCATATATGAAGTTTTTGAATTTGTAATATTTATATGTATTAATAAATATTAATGTGATCATGATTCTTTTCATTGTGTATATGAAACACAAAATCTTTGGATTAATGAAGAGAAAGTAAGATAGATTCAATTCTTCTAATATAGATTATGGAGTGTTACAAGATATGTCAAGCGTTTCTTAGAATATTCTAGAATAGTGCTGTAGAATATTCTGGGATAGTGTAGATATTTGAAGAGTAATCTAGGATACCCTAAAAATCTATAGAATATCATAGAATTATGTAATAGTGAGGGGAATAATGTGGAGTATTCTAGAGAACTCCATAAGCATGAATAATGGAGGGAACTCTAGAATATTCTTAGGCATGGGAGGAAGGTTATAAATAGGACCATGCACTTCATTCGTAACCATCTCCCAAAATCTCTCCAACCCTTCTTATATAAATTCTCTTGTAATAGTGAAGTTTTCCCCATTGAATTCCTCTCTTGCATTCTTTGCTTTCTAGCAAAATATTTCATGAGTTTAAGACTAATATAGCACTAGGAAGGAGTGCCAAGGCTGGGTGACTTGGGCAAGGTTTCTCCGTAACAATAAGCTAAGATTTGTTGATATCGATGAGCTAAGCCTGATTTATTTTTTTAAGTCAATTAAGCTAAATTTAAAAACACAACACAACACAAAAAATAAGACTCAAGCCCAAGACCTATTGGTTGGTAGTCAAAACTCTGAACCAACGGACCAAGATGAGTTGCATAGCTTAGCCATGATATAATACATAAGTTTGTGAGTTGACTAATTTAAATTTCATGTATATTAGTTTAATTTTTTTTTTAATATATTATAATTTAAATCTTTTTATAAATTTCATACAAGTTTGAAAAAAAAGTATTCACTTTTCTTATGTCAAATGATTTTTTATTATCTATCAGCTCAATTATTATTTAAAAAATTATTATTGTTCAACTATTCCAAATGAAAAGCTTTCATATTATCAAGCCATAACATTTAAATTTTCCAACCTTCTTTAATAACTAGGATTTAATATTGATGCTCATTCATCCATCTTGTGTAGGCAATAATTCAAAGTCATGTCAAAGTCACATAGTTAGATTTTGTTATCCTTACTCGAGGAATTTGTTGTCAACCATTAAAGAAGTATTTGTATAATGCTAGAAATATTGTCCGTGCACAACACCAAAATAATGCATACAAGAATATTCATTGCAGTATATAAAGAGAACCGAATGTATTAGCTTCATATGAAAATTCAACACACATACAAACAAAATAAGTTTGTAAAAACAACTTATATGAGACACATAAATTTAATAAAAAATAAAAAATCAGACCCAACTTAGTTGAAATGATCTATTATATAAATGAGATTACAAAAATATGTTCTTTATTTTAATTGGATAATATTATATTACAAATTGAGATAATTAATTTGGTCTCGTGTAGCTATAGTGGAGATTGCTAGAGTTGTGGTGGGTGACAATGATGGTCGTGTGATGAAAATTAGTGACGATGGTCCAAAGACAATGATTGAGTGATAGTAGTCACGTTACAACGGTCAAATGACGGTGCTCGAGTAAAGACAACTAGGCGATGACAATCGAGTAATGACAACTAGGTGTTGGTAGTTGAGTGATCACGGTTGGGCACAAATCGTTGACTGGTGGTGGTCATTAGTAGTTGTTAGCATCGATCGTTAGATAGGGCTTTATTAGTTCCATTCTTAGTGGAGAATATAGTTTATTTATAGTTTTTTTAGTTGCATTTTTGCTATTTTGGCAAAGCTCCAAAACACTTGATCAAGCTTCTTGCATTAATTTATTTGTTCGTAAAATATTCTTTTAACATTTAGGTACTTCAATAATCTTTGAATTGAGTAGTATTAAATTATGAATTTCTCTTACCAATATGTTTATTTGAATTATTAGAATGCGTGGTTTTGAGAACATTGATTATTGTTATAAATGTTTCCAATTTTGCTTGGGCTGTTTGATTAGACTCATTTGAAGTCAAATAAATACTTTTAATTTGATTAGACTCATTTGAAGTCAAATATATACTTTTAGTGTCATCGGGTTTATCTCATATGGACAATTAGTTTGACCATAAGTTTATTAAAATTAGAGCTCGAATGATCATGAATTTAATTCTGAAACTTTTTTATTCAAATTGAGCTTCGGGATTCATGCATAATGGATATGTTTTATGGTGACATATCATTTGTCTACAAATTTTTAACGTCAAATTCTTTGAGATTAAAAAAAGTCTATATAAAATTTGAATAATGCTGACTTAATGACATGTTATATCATGATAATCTTCTTATTATTATTAATTATGTATTATATTAAGACTTCATTTGGGATGGCTTTTTTACTGATTCTTAAAGCATCATTCTATTATAAAATTTTAAATTTTATAAACAAGCAATCATTTCATCCATGAATGAGATTCTAAGTTGTAGAAAGATTTCTGATTTTAAAAGTTCAAAACTCTTCCATTAACTCAATTCATACAATTACCCCTGCAAAATTTTCATCTCCTGACTATCAATGATGGCTATTGCCCAATTATCCCTTTTAATCGTCAATTGATATCAAAGTCTATTGTTGCCCTCATTCAATTCGCGCCTATGTCTACAATCTCTTAATTGCTACCAAATGACTCTTACATCATCATCTCTTATCATTTCTCAAATAATTTTCACTAATCTCATAGTAGATCATTGATCAATTCAAATTTTAATTCAACTTTGCCCATTTACGAGACCTGACAAACATTTGTAATATTTTATGTCACAAAGTGGATTGTTCTAGTTGGGCGAGGCCCCATCATTTTCCTATTAGGTTTCCCTTTAAAATTCTACGATGACTTTTATGAGCTTCAGAACACATTTATTCAGATTTAATAAATCCAAGATGATTTAAAATATGTAAATTATTTGATATGATGGGCATCAAATTAAATGAATTTTAAGCTAATTTTGTTGCCACTTATTTAGCATTTAATAATTTATGAGATTTTGATATGTTATTTTATTTATTTTGCTTGTATGAATTTTAATTAGGCTAACTAATAATAATTTCGGTTCACGGGTCTAGTTTGGGTCGAATCCGGAACTGACCCGGGTTCAATCGGGTAGACCCTAATCCAGCCCGGGTAGGTAAACGGGTCAACCCGAACCCGACCCGTTTTGAAATCGGGTCGGGTCCAACCCGAATTTTCTGGGTTGAATTTTTGTGTCGTGTCAAATATTGACAGCCCTAGATAGAGGACTTCACAAAAACAAATATAACCAAACAATAGGCTGAATTAACACGCTAATGGAGTAAATAAGCACTAAATCCAGTAAATCCAAATTTTGTAAATTCAAAATGTGTTAAATTTTGAAAACTGTTTGGTATGCTAAATGTTAAATCCTGTTAAATCCGAAGAAACTGTTTGGTAACATATTTAAGGATTTATAGTAGTTAGACATTTAAATGGGAAGAAAATAATTATAACTTAAAAAAATTTTATAATTAAAAATAAAAATATAATGTGTTATAAATTTAATAATATGTTAAGTACAAATTACCTATTAATTATTATTTACGGCATTTTGATCGGAAGCAAGAACGGGAGCTCGCTGGCTGTGAAGGTAACTTTCTCCCTTTCGCGCGCTTCTTCGGATAAATCCCGTTAAATCCGGCTACCCCTCGGATTTACTAAATTCCGGATTTAAGTTGTAAATCCGTAAATCCGGGATTTACTGAATCCCGGGATTTAACGCGCGCACAAAAACTGTTTGGCTGGATTTAGCGTAAATCCGACTTAAATCCCGCTTTAAATCCGATACCAAACAGCCCCTTAGGTTAAATCCTGCTCAAATACTGCTAACAAAAGGCCGCTCTCAGAGGCAGGAAATCACTTGTTAGCTTCGCTCGCGCATATGGCATCATTTCAAGAGAACAGGCAGAAGCACCATCATACGAAGAAGAAGAAAGATAAAAAAGGGGAAACATTAACAGTTGAGGATCTTAAATTCTTAGGTCTCCAGCTTCTCTCATCCAGGGCTCACATAAATAATCTTCCCATCCTCCTTTCTGTTCTATCACCAACTTCTTCGGCTAACCTTGTACTAGAATCCCTTATCTCCCTTCAATCGTTCTTCCTTCCGCTTCTCCCAGAAGTTCCCTCCGCTTCCTCGCTTTCCAAGAAAACTGGAGCAGAGGAGGATCCAGATGCCTTTTACAGCTCTTGGCTTCGTGCTAGGTTCGACGAGTTGGTGAACTCGCTGATAGAGATTGCTGTTTCATACACGTCTGTTGAGGCTATTAAAGTATGCATCTTGGCTTGATTTGTTTTTTGTGGTGTTGTATTTTTGAATGAATCCTAATTGTATATGTTTTTGCTGATTAATTCTTTTAGGATGTGGCCCTGGATGCAATTATGGATTTCGTGAAGCAGGAAAAAGAGGGAAGGTTTAATTCTTCCATTTACTACAGACTTCTCAAGAGCATAGTAAGCGGTCTTCAGTTTTGACGAATTAATAGATATAACTATAATTAAATGCAATTAGTCGGGTCTTTCTCCTTTCAATTAATTGAAGTGCTTACTCTTATATGTGGAATGCTATTTGTGGAACCCCAATTTTCCTATAAGAAATAGAATTTAAAGTCAATGAATTTTTGATAAAATGTGGACATTTGTTGGTAAATCTGATTATTCATCTTATGTTTTATTTAAAATTTTGTTACTTGATTATCTCCTAAACTCATACCATCCCAATTTGAAAGAAAAAGCAAAATGATAGATAAGCAAATTTGTTATGATCCCACTAAACTCATACTCCTTGGATTTACATGGTATTTTGAAATGTTGAGGTGCATTCTATTTCATATCTTCAGGCCCAAGTGCATTTAATTATGGTCTTTAGAGTTGAATACCGATAGCGGCAACACATTGTTCTCAATTATTTTCGTGATAAAATAATTTAGTTTAGTGTAAATGTTTTGAGTTAAGCATGAAAACTGATTTGCGCAACTCAACTATCACATATCCATATTGTATAGCCATTTTAACTGGATTGTTACAAAGAGTCATGATTGAATGAATATTGTAAATCTTAAACATATCACAAATAAAGAAATTATATATATATATATATGTTGCTTATGGCTTATTTACACACTATTTTACTTTCTATTTTTGCATTGCATGTGAAAATTTGATATGGATCCAACTCTTTGTAAATTTGGGATTCACATAATCTGATTAAATCCAATCCATTTACTATGCCTATGCTCAAATTTTCAAATAATACAGCGCTTTTTTTAGGATGGCAATGACGGTCCAAATTGATGCCCTTAGCTATGGAGAAGTTGATTTTCAAGTGATATTTTTTGTCAAATTAGGAGAACCTTTTGGAAAAATTTCTTCTGGCTTGCTTATCTATCATTACGAAGTGTGAAGCATGTCTTGTATTATTAAATGATTTTTTTTTCACAACTGCAGGTAAGCAGTGCACCTTCTACTCATCCGCTATTGAACCAGCTTGCTGCAAAGTATTTCAAGTACATAGATATATGGTCAGTAATTGATTTTGCATTTTTTTTGTTTTCTTATTCGTTCTTTTTGGTGCGAACATCAATTTTGCTCGAATATGCTTTTAATAAAACTGTTTTAGTGGGTTTATGATGAATTATTTGTGTCAAACCTAAATTGTTTATTGAATCTTACAATGGGTTCTAAAGAATCTATTTAGATGCTTTTTTGGTTGGCAATGGTCTTATCTCTTGCAATATATTCAATTAATAGCTCTTTGGCATGTTTGAGCGGAAGACAAGCTGATAGAAGGTCAAGAGGTTTTATCTTTTAATATCACGTTCTTGTCTTAGAACATAAATGCATTGTTTGCTTCCGTATTTTTATTTGTGGACTTCATTTAGGTTAGCTGAATACGGTAATGATTTTCTTTGTGACGATACATTGATTGAACTACACGGCTTATAAATTTAAGGAGAAACATTACTTATTTGTTGTACATTTTACTAAGTTTACTAGAGGAATTCTGTAAAACACTTGAGCAAAAGAAGTGGTTTGCTTTGCGAGCAATAGTTATATGCTCTTTCTGCATGGTGCCACATTCCTTGCATTCTAATATGTTAGGACGTAAACGCTTTTTTGTATTTTATACTTTACATTATTATTCTTTTCTATTAGCCTTGTAGTTGTTAATGTCATTGTCATGATTTGCATATGCAGTTATTTCACCTACACTAGTTTGGACAAAATTTCAAAGGACTGCAACTCAACCACCATTTATGGTAATGATTTTGTCTTTTTTTTTTGAAAATTTATAATTGTGTTAAAAGTTTGCTGTCAATTTATCTTTTGCTATGGAACCTGCAATTAGTTACACTCATCATATTTATAGTTTGATTTGTTTATTCAAGGCACAACAGATGACAGAAAAGATAATTTGCAGAATCCTGGTGAGGAAACTGAATCAAGGTATGTTTTTAACTCGTAAACTAAATGTTTTTGACAGACATATATTAACGGATTTGGATAGAATAACTACATCCGACTAACTGCATTTCATATACTGTCAAGTAAAATGCCTTTCATCCGCATTAAGATGTCAAAATTAATATACCTTCATAGATTCTGGCATGCCCATTATTGCTGTTAAAATTGATTTTTGAGATCAAAAGACATTTCTTTTTTCCTCTGTCTATTTCTTGGTGCTATGGTTTTCATTATTACACTGATTCTGAATAGGTTTGAGGTTTCCATTCGCACAATCTATAAAATCTTATCATGTGTACCACCTTTGGAAACCTTGGACGAGCAACAAAGTCATGAGATGTGGAGTCAGCTACGTGAGTTTACTATCCAGATGAAAATTTCTTTTGTATATCAGTTGTAATTTTATACTAATTCCATACATTGAAAACTGTATCAGGCATGTAAATTAATTTTTTCCTGTATTCACTTTAAAACTTCTTATACGAAGCATTAAATGTATGTTATTTAGTGCATATTGTCTATTGGTCGTTTACACAAACTTAATTTTGATGCTTGGAAATGCGCTGTAAGACTATGAGCATGCGAGAAAAACATGTATTTTTAGTTAATTTGACTGCAAGCAATTATGCACGCATAATTGCATTTGTAAAACATATAGGGGTTTTTGGCATGTTGCATTTGTATGGTAATGTATTCCGAATGCATGTATTTTGAGAATTTGGGTGTTTGGTAGGGTGAATTTTAAATTCAAAGTAATTTATTTATGAATTTGAAATTCATTGTCTATTTCTTTTTGGTATATTTTGAAAATTAATTGATTTGGTTGATTTTCAAATATACTGTAAACCGCCTCTTGATGTCGAAACTCGTCATCGGCTTTCGCCATTGCCAACAATGGTGGTTGCCGCCACCGTTGCGCATTCACCATGGCCACAATTGCTGGCTACAACCCGCCGACCACCATCGTCACTACCACTGGCCACCGTTGATCGCCAACTATTGTCCGCCGATCATTGCTTACCGCTGCTTGTAGTTGCCGTTGTCGTCGTTGGTTTATATGAATTCATTTTACTTCAAATTAGACACAAAAAAAGCAATATCTAACATTTGCTTTACCCCAACTAAATAACTTTAAATTAAATGCGCTGAATTTACTTTACATTGAATTTACATTACACTACATTCCTTTTTCAGCAGAGCAAATGACCCTATAATGTTTTATTTATTTATTTTTAACTTTCTTTTTGTGTTGTGTTTTTGAATCCATGCATACTTGTATATTATGTGAAATAGCTAAATAACTTTGCTTGATGTGTAATTGTGTACTAAGATTACTTAAACTTGTTTGCATTCATGTTTTATGATTGAGATTTTTGTTTTTTTCCCTTATATTATATAGAGTAGCTATATTTGTAAAATAATCTTTTTATTAGTTAACTTGTAGCCCTGGAGATAAATCTCAAATCTCAATAATTAATGGCTTTGGTCAATGTTAATTCCCAAAGAACTATGCCAATCATTATTTATAGTATTTTAGTTTATTTAGTAATTTCCTATATAAGCATTGTCAAGTTTGAATCATATTCTTGAATCAATTAGATCCAGTTTGAATCATATTCATGCATAAATTATTTTTTCTTGTGATGGCGGAAAGAAACTTAGGTCGCTATATGATTTTCTCTCGCTTCGAACCTTTAGCTCTTCCTCCCTCCCTCTCTCTTTCTACTTTCATTTCCCTCATCATCCCAAACTTTTTATCTCTCGTGCTCTCCCTCACCTCCCTAATGACACCACCTACAATGAATCGCCTTATGCATGTCACCTCTATTGATTCTTGTGCACAAGACCCTCCAATTTAGCTGCTTTGTGCGGATTCTTTCCACTCTCAATTCTCAAATCATTAAGGACCTATCGATCCCATTCTATAACCACCTCCTCTTTATGTTTGTAAAACATGACTTCCTCCTCACCTGTAGCCCATGAGCTCTTCCTAATCTTACCACAATTATAGCTTCCTACGCTTGATTCCTTTATTTAAACTCTCCCTCTATGTGCAACATCATGGCCAACGTTCATGAGTCTGACAATCCAATATTCAAAAGATTGTCACTTTCAACTTCCCTCATATATAAATGCAGTCTCTCTCCATCTCTCCAGCCCCCTCATTTGCAAATGCAGGTAAATTATGAAAGACCTGTCAATCTTTGGTTTGATTAAATTGAAGACCCCATGTTATTGATATTTGCTTCTACTTGGTTACTACTGAACGACCAATGGTCTTTGTTCTAGCTAAATTGAAGCCTTATAATGTAGATCATTGGTCCGACGGTCCGACCGTCCGATCATGTAGTAAAGACAAACCCTTTGTTCGTTGATCTTTTGTATGGCACAAGGTTCTACCCTTCGTTGATATTTGATCTAGATAAAATGAGTGATGCTTTTTTGACAACGACTAACATTATCAAAAGTTCGATGGTGACTCTTGAATCATCTTTGGATGATAGCCATCATGATCGTTTAGTGAATCTAAGTTCGTTGATCCATATGGCCCCCAACTGCTCATAGGGGAATTGGATATTATTGTCTTTTAAATGACCATCAACGAGAAATATTAGAATATAAAGTAAATGACAAAAAAGACAAATAATATAGTACTAAATTCTTAAAAATGTTTAAAAAAATGTAGTTGAATCGCTGTAGAGCCATTGACCTTTAATAAGATTACATTGAAGACCCACACAACTGATTTTGGCTTGACCAGGCTTTGAAAACCATTCCACAATTATTAGTTTTTGGTATGTTATGTGGCCTCCTTCCTTTGTTGGTCTTTGGTTTGGACAAAAGTAGTTATTGTTTTTCTTTCACTAGTGAGTGCACATGATTGTCATCAGAATATTGTTATTCATGTTAGTTAAGAGAATTTAAGATTTTTATTGCATTTGGTTTTTCCATCCACCTGCTGGAGGTTAATTGGGTGTCATTTTAATTCTCATAACCACTTATAACAACAGAAATAGAGTTATGTATGATGCTACAATCAATCTCACCATATAGTTATATTAGTAAATCTTAATTCTCCAATCAAAATTCAGAATAACAAAATAAAACGAGTTTTCTATTTTAGCCTTTCTATGGACGTAAGACCCATCTTATATAATGCTGTAGCGTGGAGCCATCTAGCTTATAAGATTAAAAAAATGTGCAAGCTTACTTATATGGTAAGTGCGTAAGACCCATTTTTGGGTTTCCTCTCCCTTAGGGTTGTAAGTCCCGTTCATTGACCTTTCCATGGATGTATGCTCTGTCCTGATCAAATTGCCCAATGCTAAGAAACTTATTCAATAAAAAAGAGGCCTTTTAATCGGTGCATGATGTAGACACACAAGTAAGAAGACCAACACAATGGATAGAACTTAAACCAAACTTTGTTAAAATAAAAACAAGCAACTAAAACTTCAAAACCCAACAAGAAACACGAGGAAATTTTAAGGAAATAAAAAGAACTAAAAGACGCAATCCTCAGACAACCGTCAGAGCGAATGCATCGAAATTGTAGGTTAAATAAGAAAAGTGCATAGAACTAGCAAACCGATGGTCCACCACTGCATGATTGTCCAATCTTCCCAACGAATGCTTCAAATCAATCAAGATACGACACCCTAAAGTTGCTTTACTTTCAGAAGAAGGATACAGATGGAGTGACACTTGCAGAGAGACGAAGAGGTTAGAAGACCGAGAAAAAAGGTGGAAAGAGCCCACATAATTTCCAAACAACCCGCAGGTTAATAGCAAATATGCTCACAAATATCAGCTCCCCTTCCTTTTCAACATCATCTCATATTTATAGGCAAAGTAGAGGAATGCTAAAAGCCTTTAAGTTAAGTTTCACAAGATCCCAAGCATCACAAGCGTAGAAATCTTCCCCCCATGCTTTCTGAAATCACCCAAACAAGAAACCGAAAAGGCATTCACAGGAACCAAGCCTCACACACGGAACCAAGGAGCCACGGCCACGGGAAAGAGCCCAGGCACGGAAAAACAGCAAATGGACGGAATTCCAAGAGGCATAGCACGAAAAAACAGCAACCCAACTTTAATTTAATGCATAAAATTCAGCCACCATAAAGAATAGGTCAGGGGTTCCCAAGAGACAAGAAAAAAGGGGAAGGGGAAGGGACAATGCCACTCCAAAAGTAAATTCTTCTTAATGAGCCACCTTTTTGGATATTAATGAGCTACTAAACTTCAGCTCAAGCAACTAAAGAACAAGCTCAACACCATGTACTTCAAAACAGGCAACCCGTGAACCATCAGTAGCAAATGAACCAATCTAGCGAGCAAATCAAAGGTCTACCAAGCCCCATGCACAACCTACCATGATCATTGGATGCTTTCCCATCATTGGATAGCTAAAAAGAAAAGAAAACAAAATAAAAACAAAATATACTATTGTTCAAATAAAATAAAAAGTACAGAAATTCTTGATAGCATCAGTGCCCCATCCAAAATTAAATTTGTCCAATTTGCTTGCTAACAAAGTCATCATTGAAATAAACCCCCAACCAAATTTCTAATATGCATCAACCTTGCTTCTTTGAGTTAAGTTGAAACTTACAAATAAATGATGATCAAACTATGTATTTTTTTGAACACACCTATGATTCTTAAGCATCCATGCTTTGTATCTCTGAACTATTCGATGAAATTAGTATGACCATCTATCTACCATTAAAAAATTTGAGAGGGGTCGCAACTCATGGTTGCTAACCAATCACCCTGGAATAACCTGGATATTACAACTCAAAGTAGTCCAACCTTGGTAGACTGAATTTATTGGTATGTTTGAGTTGGTGGAATTATGAGATTTTGATTGAATTTATATCGGTTACACTAATCATTCACCACTCAATTAAATTCATATATAACTGCCAAGTTTGAACTTAAAATTGAGTCTAAGCAATATTGATGGGGACATCAGATCATCATGGAAAGTTTACCAGCGACGTGGCCGCTGATCTACGGCCACGATCGATTCGTTATATTTTTGAGTCGATGTATTTTATTTTCATGCATTTTATTATTTGCTTATGTGTGTTTATTTATTTTCCCTTTCTACCCTTTTGTATGAGAGTGTTCATGTGTAAGCCTAAGGGCATTTGTGTCATGTTAGTTAGAGTCTTTTGTATGAGGTTATTTAAAGCCCATTTGTTTTATTTTCAAGGCAATGAATGAATGAATGAATGAAAGGAATGTTTGCTTATGAATTTTCTTCTTGGATGAGTTTGTGGGAGCTAGAGAGTTCTAATGGAGAAAACTTCCTAGGAGAGGAAGAAGTTTGGCGCAATACCCACCAACCTAGATAAGTCGGGTTCGTGGTTTCTCTCGTTTATCACGTTTTCTTCTCATTCCGTTATTTCTCCCATATCTTCTCCCTCGTCACCTAGCCGCCGGTGTCCCTAGCACATGAATTCCCTCTCCACCAATCCCCCTCAATTTCACGGCCAAACCCATGCTCAAATCCCCATGCCGCCGACCTCCATCTCCCTAGCCACCGATCCACTCTCCACTTCTCACATTCAAGCTTGTCTCCTATTTTAGATTGAGTTGAATGTGGGTAGATTTGAAATTCAAAATTAATCCTTGAGAATTTCAAAATCTTTCCTAATTTAATAAATCTACTTTAGGAAAGTTCCTTAATTCCATCAATTTGAATTTCAAATTCAAATTGAATTTAATTAAGAAATTTCCTTTTCTCCTAGCCTTTTAATCTCCCAAAATCTTCTCCACAAATTCCTCTTTGGCTTCTCTAGCTGCCGGCCCAATAAACAATTCCAGAGAATTGTTTCCTAAACTACATCCCACCTTTTGGGGAACAATTTGAAAACCTCCTCATGGCCGAATCCTGCTGCTGCTTTGTTTTAATTATTTCCTAAACAATTCCCTAGCTTTTGGAAGTAATTTCAGATCTCCATAATTTTCTGCCTGGGCCGAATCCACTCAAGCCCACTTCATTATTTTCCTAAAATGGCATTCTAAACTAGGAATTAATTCCCTGGACACCTTCTCTCACGTAATCGTCAGCCTCCCCATTGGAATTTCTCTCAGAACTTCTCTCCTAGTGTTGATTTTCCTGTGAGAAAATCTGGGAACTCCTTACTGGTTGCTGGCCGAATTTTCTCAGGGCTAGTCTTGGATCTCTCCACTAAGTTCTCATAGTCTACTCATGAGAATCTGAAACTGATTTCAGATTTCAGCCATTGGTTCTTTCCCCTACTACAAGGCAAGAGAAGTTTCTTTCTTGTCAAGATATCCGTGTACATCATCAACGAGAAGGAGATTGATCATACTATTGAAGAGGACGGGGAGGGCATCTTGTGCGTCTAACGGAAGCCGTCAACGAACATGTCAAAGGCCTTGAGTGGAGGATCTCCACGTATCCTTAAGCAAAGGTTTTCCTCTTTTCCACTTGTATTCAATTTCTTCTAAATCTAAATTCTCAATTTGTTAGATTGTCATTGCGAAAGTCTTCTCCAAGTGCTCTTGCTAAAGCTTAGTAAATCGTAGGGATTGAGTGTGCTTTCTATGCATCCTAACTCTCATTGTTAGATTAGGGATTAACTTGAAGACTATTATTTTGCATTGCTTTTATTTTCTCAATTATCTTGATTGTTCAAAAGTTGGCGCATGTGATTTAGCCTATGCAAGATTAACTCCTTCATTGTTTTATTCGCCGTGGATAATTGCTAGTAATTTTATTCTGAACTTATTCTAATCAAAGAGTTGTGCAAAGCTTAAATGAAACTCATAAACGTTGCATCTAAGTAGTCCTGCATCAAATATCCTGAATCAATAGTGCTTTCGGGTGAGCAGGAGGTGTAATTAATTATAGGGAAATACATCCATAGGATGTTTCAACCCTGATATAAATAGTCCTTGTTCTAATTTCGAGGAAAATTAGTTAAAACAACCTATTCTTTGAATGCCTCTTATCATGTTAAGTTGGTTTCAAAGGGAAAAATGGCTTTTCTTGTGCGATCAAAAGTGCCTATGCACTTTAATGTGTTTGGTGGGGTCTTATTGTTCTAGACTATGTGTAATATTGCTAACAGATTTGTTGCATGTGCCTTTCAATCTGAATTTTAAGATAACTTAGGATTTTTTCTCAACCGTAGAACATCATAGATTCAAGGAACCATGGCTCAAAACTCAGCTGCAACTTAATCTTTCTACCGCAGTCTGCTTCTTATTTCTTCATGTCACTTGATTATATCTAAGGCAGGTAAATTATCCTAATATAGAGCTAGCATAATATGTATCTTTGTAGAATTATGGAGCAAACTATTTATTTCATTTGAACAACTCCTTTGTTTTGTGGCCTTGAGATGGAAATTAAAAGTGTTTCTTCTTAGGATCTTGCATGAATTGACTAATTACAATAGTTATATAAGCTAATTTGGCATGGTGTGGTTCAAGTGAACCAATATCTTATAAGCCTGTGATATCATTCCCTTTCTATTGTATCATCATCTATTTCTTGACAAAATCTATGATTAGGTTCAATAAGTGTTTTAATTGTTCTGTAACCTAGCGTTTACATTTCTCTTTGGAGATCCAATACATTGCTCTTCAAAATATGCCACTACGATACCGAAGAAGTATTTAGGCCTTTTAAGTTTTCAAATTGCTAGCATGTCAAGATGGGTATGATTTCTTTTGTCACAATAAGGATGTTACTTATCATATTACAATCATGTTTTGAGATATTTTTCAGTTGGGTTATGCCCTACTACAGTTGTGCCGTCTGCATATAGAAATAATAATGTGGCTTTTATTGCTTAGAAATGTTTTAATAGGAGAGTATATTCCCTTTGACTCAGCGTGTGCTCTATTGCTTGCACATATTTTGTGAATATTTTAAAACATGATTTAAGAAATTCTTTTAATCCATATATTATTTTCTTAGACTGGCATGCTTTGTCACTTTAAAATTCCCATCTAATTGGACGCCTTTGAAGAAACGGATGAGGCCAGATATCAGTTGAGTTAGTAGAAGGATTTTTTTGACAAGCAAGAGATCGCTGATTTTCTTTATATGTTTTAACTTTCTCAAGATAATAAAAGCCTATTTTTCTCTTGAACAAATCCATTTGTACTCCACATAACTTGATGTTAAAACTACGTAGTTATACATTGTAACTCTTGGGTGATTTGTTTAATAGATACAATATTAGTCGATAACTTTGTAACATGTTAAATGTTCTTTAAAGAAATAGAGGGTGTTAAAAAAAGTACTATTCATTATCAACAATAGTTATTTGTCATTTATCTGTTATAGTTGCTTTCTGTTTATTGTACAAGTTACTCAGAGTAAGTTTTGAGGCACTAAAAGCATATGAAATGTGGTTCTTATGTGATTGAATCAATGAGCAGGTTCTTGAGGGTGTACTAAAAAGTTGAGAAAATTTATAACTTAGTTAATTTCCTCCTTTGAGTTCTCCGATTTCATTTGTGTTGGGTTTCTCTTGGGAGGAGTTCTTACCATATGTGATTGACTTAACTGTTTTTTTTACCTCAAAACCCTCTATTCTTCTGGAGAATTTATCTTATTGTGTATTTAAAGTTTAAAATAATTCTCTTATATGATATTGGTTTTTTGCAATTAGTGTACCAGTTTCCATCTCGGTTAAGTGGCTTTTTTAACTTTCAGGTTTGTTGTTTTTCTTTCAGTTTTTTCATTTTCTAGCAACATCATTAGGCTTTGTAGAGATAATGGTTGAAACTCTTTCGATTTGAGAGTCTAGCATCATTGTTCTTCGACTTTTCTCAGCACAAATTATTGTGGTCTCAGTATTGTGGTCTCAGTACGAGCCATTAGCATTTCTTATCCTGCGCCTAAATTCGGATGCAATCAAACTATGCATTGAGGGTTTTTCCTTTGCTACTACTTTGTTGCTAAGCATTTATCTTAATATTTTGTAAAGATCTAATACTCATTAAAAACTTTTATCATGTTATAGTATTCTGTGATTGGTGTACCTTGCTTAGATGATGAGATTCTGTTCTTATTTTCATATATAAGAGCAATTTCTTGGATCATGGAGTAGGTCTGGGCATTGTTTCCTAAGTTTCTCCAGTTGTGGCAAGGAACACGCAGTTCCTACTGATTATTGGCAGCATGGAATCTGAAAGCTAAGGCATAATCATGTAGTCTTCCTCATCCCAAGCATTGAATCTTGGGTCTTTGGACTCTTAACTAGTTACAATCAAATGACTTTGCTTGCCTCTTCTTTCTAAAAAGTTTTTTGTAATTTGTGATCATTGTTGATGTTTTTTTCCATTTAGCCCATACAAGGGGTGGATATTATCAAATTTCTCTTTTGATTGATCTTTGATGGACTCAGTAATGGTTATAGATTGATTCTCATAGACTTTTGACATTTCAAAGAAAGAAAGAATTAAAGCGGAAAAAAAGATAGTCAACAACGACTGATCGGAAAGAAAAACTCTCTTGGATTCATTACTGAGGCTGTAGGATATTAGCAATGAGGGCTGAAAGGCTTTCTAGAATTCAGCTATGAAGCTGTGGAGATCAACAATGAAGGCTAGTAAGTTTTTATCGGGAAGAAAAACGGAGAGTGTCTTATCCTTTTAGGTTTCTGCGGAAAGATGCAAACCTGCTCTGTGATCTTTTGGAAGATGGTGCTTCATGTTTCCTTGTTAAGGCAATAGTTATATTAAATATTATAAAATGGAGATGAGCTATACTAAGAAAGATTTGATACTTCAATACTACCCTTCAAATCTGGAAATTCCAGATTTATAGATTCTTGAAGGAAGAAAGAATTGATACGGAATTATATATTTCAGATTTGCAATTCAAATGGAGGAAAGCCTATTCACAAATTTCTAATGGAGTGATTAATTTTCAAAAATCAGTTAAAAGTTAATTATTGCTCTTGCATGTATTATTTCTGTATATGTTTTTCTGTGGCTAACCTTCCACCCACTTTTATTCATGCTATTTTTGGCATTAGGTTTGCATTATAGTTTAAAAGCGGAAGTGCATAGCATATGTATTTCGTATGTTTTGATATTTATGTATTTTTCCATTCCTTTTTCAAAAAACTACTCATTTTGACTATACAGACATGTTAATTTTTCGGTCACTTCAATAGGCTTGTCACCGAAGGATGAGAACAATAAGTCTTCCAATGTCATTGATGTAGAGGTAGGTCTTTTGGGATCAAAGGTGACAAACACCACAGCCATCTTCTTATTTTTTATTAGGTTATTTTTTAAATGAAAAGGTACTTTCCTTGCTTATATCAACACTTTTGCATGCTGGAGCTTTTATTCTTTTGCATTGCATGCTTTATTATCGATTTTTAAATATTATTTCGTACCTGGCATCTAGTATTTTTGTTGCCGTAGTTGAATTATATTAGTCACCGGTTATTTGCAAAAGTAATGCTCACTTACCTTTTCTCTTTCCTTATGGTGATGTCTAATTTTCAGTTAATAAAAGTGTGTATCGATGACCCAAACCTTAAATCCTAGAAAAGATTACATGGTCTTAAAATATTGAATAACCTCTGCAACACAATAGCATTATGAAGAAATTTAAGACAAAATAAAAATTTAAATAATGGAAAGCAATTTAAATTTTTTGATTCATTAGAGGTTTTGTGCGTACCTTTAAGATAAATTAATACAAGTAATTGATGCATGCAAATTGTGAAATATCTACCTGCTAAAGAAATATTAAATTTGAGATATGTTGGAAATAACTAAACATTACATAAACCAGTGTAATAAAAATATTAAATAACTAAACAACATAAACAATGAATCAAGTCAGAAACTAACGCTTTAAATAAAATAAGACAAATTGAAATAAGAAATCTAGGTACTTTATATTCCAATTCTTCAGTCACACGAAGTTTACAAACTTTTTTAATGTCTCAAATATTGATTGATGGATAGGCACGAGTGGTGTGTTTTTTATTATCTCTTTTTTATGGGTGTTACTTCATATATCTCTATTATATAATTAATTTTTTATCCACTCTTGTTTGTCACACATTTAAAATTTCTTCTCATTTTTCTCAATCAACTTTTATATTCTAAAATTCAGATCTTTAAGGGAAACAATTTTGTGTGTTCTATGATATTCACTTATCACATAGTACTTATGATGCTGTCATCTAGTTTAACCACCTAAGCTTTACTTTAAAAATTGCATCTTAATATATATCCCTAATATTCTATATTATAGTTTCTCAAGACATTTAATTTTATCATGTCTAGGTGGAATTTAATCTTCCAAAAATTGTTACTAAATTGTCAATTCATACTCTATTAACATATTTGATTTTTATTCTAATTATTTTATCCTTTTCATCTAAAAATTTTCTCCATCTTATAAACATTTACTAATGTCGCCATAGTAGACCTTACCTGTTAAAAAAAATAAATCGTTTATTTTGCAAAGATTGCAAAGTTATTACGAGTGAAACATTTTACCTAACCTCGCTTATTAGTTTTAGACTTCAAGATGAAGGGGCAGAATATGTAAAATAAAGTAAAATGTTATTTTAATATTATATGGGGGCATTTAAAGAACACAAACAAAAATATTTTTGAGAGTAAGATTCTATATCTTAAGATTTTATCTGTGCATAAGGAAGCTAATGTTATGTGGGAAAAAATAGCTAGTGATATTAAGAATGCTGCAAAGGATGTGTTTGGATTATCAAAAGAAAAAACTCCTATTAGTAAAAATAATTGGTATTAAAATCAAAATGTGCAAGAAAAAATAAAAAATAAGAAGCTTTGTTATAAAAAATTAATTTATATGTAAAAAATTTTGAAATTGGAAAGATATAAATAGGTATGTCAGGAAAGCAATATGCGATGCAAATATTTTAGTTTTTAATGATTTATATAATAGATTAAATACTAAGGAGGGTGATATATATATATATATATATATATATATATATATATATAAAGTTAGCCAAACACAGAGATATGAGTAGTAATGATTTAATTAAAGCTAAGTTCATTAAGATTGAAGATCTAGAAAGTACTTTTATTGGAAGATGATATTCAACAAAGATGGATGAAGATTGTGAGAATATGATTGAATTTAGTGATCTTAGCACCCTAAATAAAAAGATCAGGCATGCGTGCAATGCTTCCTACTTGATCGCTTAATCATCGCATGCGCTTGCTACTTTTTACTGCAATCTTTACTCTTGTTGCTTATTTACTACTGAAGGAACCGCTCTTCTCGAGATTCCAATTCTTAATGATCCAAGTTAGTTCTCTTATTCTCTGACTCTCACTAAAATTTTAAAACTCTTATATAGTAATAACCAAAACAGTTTGCTTCAAGCTCTTGGTGTTGAAGTTGATACTGCTGACCTTTATCCTGTTATTCTGCTGGCTGTAAAATAAAATGCTACATTTGAGAATACTACTTAATTTCATCTGAAGAAAACTGCCCACCTGACATATTTCGCCATGAGAAAAGAATATAGTTTTCTATCGTGTATATTTACTATTTAGTTTAGCAAATGATCAGCAATTTAACTTTGCATGTAGCAGTTATCCTTTGTTGGGATAAAGCTGATGCTATTATAGTAATAGCTGCCACGTTTGTAACATGTTTTGAACGATGTTCTTTTTTCCAGATGTTGTCAAAAGATCGTATCATGAAGAAATTCAAACTAAGATTTACCAAAGCTTGGTTATCTTTTCTTAAGTTATCACTTCCGCTTGACGTGTACAAGGAGGTAAGTCTGAGAAACGTTCAACGCGTTCTTTTCTTGATCATGTGATGATGACTTCACTCTTATGTATATTTTTTCCTCTATCCTTTTTGGTTGCTCTCCATATAGATTTTTTTTCTGTTTTATTGCACAACAATAAAATTTGAGCTTATTTATAACTACTTTTCTCGTCAATGATGAGTATAACCATTATAAAATTTCTTTTCTTCATCCTTATGATATGATCATTATGTGGGTCATTACAAATAATATAACTTTGCTGGATATGTTTCAAGAACCTTTACTGCTGACTTGTTTTATGTCATTTCGTTTTGAAGCATGTTTTTTTCCATCTTTTGAACTAAGATGTTTGTTGGCCCTGTTTTGCGAGAACGATAGTTTCTGTAATATTAATATTTTCCTTTTTGAGCGATTTGATCAATTGTTGCATCACTCAAAAATTTCCTTTCTTTGGTTGGTTTCCTTTTTACTTATTTTCATGCTACCTTACCTGCCTTGTGTTCATTAACGATAAATTATCAAACTTCAGGTTCTTGCTACTCTCCATCAGAATGTGATTCCTTATATGTCCAACCCCGCCATCTTATGGTGAGATTACTTTTTGTTTTTATTTTTTCGCTATGTGAAAGATTTGATGCAAGACTGACTTATTTTGCCGGCATAAATTTTCAGTGATTTTTTAATTAGATCTTATGACATTGGTGGTGTCATCAGTGTCATGGCACTTAGCGGTCTCTTCATTCTGATGACTCAACATGGTTTGGAGTATCCTAAATTTTATGAGAAGCTTTATGTATTATTGAAACCAGATGTATTTATGGCCAAGCATCGTGCTGGCTTTTTCCAAGTAAGTGTCGTTAATTTTACTTTCACATTGATGATCTTTCCTGCTTTCTTTAACAGTGCAATATATTTTGAGGTGGCGGTGAAGGAGCTTAATTTAGTTATATAGCTTGATCAACATCATTCTAAATCATATTTTCATATGAGACATGCTCATGGCTTAACCAAGTAAATTTTTTACTTGCAAAATTATTATTCTTTTTTTAGTAAGATACTTTGTTGAAGTTATAAAACATAAATGTAATTCTTTTTAGTTTCATGCTGAAAAACCGTGTGATTTTATGATGCACAAATTTTTTGGCAGTCGTGTACAAGAAGTCAACCTGAATTTTGGCTGTGCTCAGGACTCTTTAGGGCAGAAATCATTATTATGTAGTATCACTCAACTTTTGAAATTACTTCTTCTTACTGGCCCAGATTAAGTATTCAATTACCTTTTATATCAACATCATCATTTCCCTTGTATCAATAGTTTAGGATCAATTTTAGGGCACTTTTTTCTCCATTCATCATATTTCGATGTTGTATGTGATAACACTTTGTGCAAAAACTTCTCCATAACTATTCATATTATATTTTGGTTGATCCCTTTTCCTTTGCAGTAATTCCATATTTATTTTAAAGACCTAATTTATGGACGGTGTATAATTTACACTCATTATACCATCTCAAATTTCTTATTACTATAGTTTGCAAACTAATTTGTTTATTAAAATTACAATTTATTACATACATGCATAATAAATGTTGCAATATAATCCATTTGCATTCATATATGTATATATATACACACACATACCCGTGTGTGTTGTGATATTTACAGGAACTATAGTTTATGGCTTATAAATAGAAGACCTATTTAGAAGCGTCTTGGCATGTGGATGCATTAATCGAAATATTGTTAGACATTCAATATTGGAGAAAAGCAGATTGCACTTCTTTAGATCTTTCCTGATAAGACATCTAAGAGATTTCCAATGTTTATTAAAAACCTTATTTAGTCCCGTTTTGTAGGTTAAGGAAGATGAGAACTTCACTAGAGTCCCCAAAGGTTTCTATAAAATTTTCTAGAGAAAAAAATGGGAAATCTTAAGTTGTATTAGGCACAATAAAAGCAGGAAGACGATGGTGGAAAACAATCTCGTAACAAAAATCTTTTTCTACATGGAGCTGTTAACATTCTTTCTGCAAGATATAAAATTTATTATTTTAGAGGCTTAATTCATACAATTAATATATAAATAATGCAATGAACAGTCCCGGGTCAGCCTAACAATAAATTTATTTTGATTGCTACCTATGGTTATTTTGCATAGGTAACGAAATGTAGCCTTTTTTCACCATAGTCGGCACTAATGAGAATGACGCATCATAACACAACATCTTTCTTACGACAGGGCCAATAGAATTTTTCTCATTCCAAATATTTAGTCTTTTAACTATATGGCTAGCCATTCCTCCGGCATGCAACTTCTGGATAAGGAAATCTGGCAAGCATAAGGAATCCTTAAATTGAGTCTTTTAGGAGGAAGCAAGTACAAATAATGTTGCCAAGAATAATAAGATGTCATTGTCTTTTACATCATGAAAAATTAGGTGAAAGTTAGGATATAATAAGTTTTATTGCTTTATTTTTTCAAACCATGCTCACAATCATGTCACCTAGTTGGTGGATATTGGCTGTTTTCGTGGTGTTGACAATTTTATTATAAACTCTTGAGTGATACTTGATAACAAAATAGTACTCTTGCATAATTGTAACCCATTTAGCATGGCTGGTATTCATGTTCTTCTGAAATTGAATTTATTTTAAAGCCTGGTGCGAATAGTTCAAAATGAACAGTTGGTGAAACATGTAATGGCACGATGTAGTGCTTGTGCTACAACATAAAGCTTGTTATTATAAGTAATCTCTTTGATACATGCACTAAGATGGTTTTTAACTCCTATATCAGATGTATCACATGATACTTCAATAGCCTTTTTAAACCATTAATTTTAATTCCTAGTGACTCAGTCACCCTAAGTCTAATGTGATCAAGTGCTTTTTGTGGTGGAAAGAGTCAATCAAAGGTCTCTTATTTTAAGATGGCACATTGATGGAACTAGATCCTTTGAAAAACCTATGATACGAAATGGTCAATCTATGGAAACTTTAGAACAAACATTGCTGTCAGTTGAGGCTAATAAGTCTTAGCATTAATCTTTTATTGAATCAGCTTCCAATACTTTTGACAAGCACAATGGTTGTTGGAGTCAGAGATTTGGACAATGACAATCATTGAAGAAGGTTGCTGGCATTACAAAAGGCAGCAGCTGACGAAGGCTTGAAAACGAGTAGGCTGGTTTTCTTGGAGATGCAAGCTTAATTTGGCGTTGCTTGTCTATGGAAGGTTAGATACGAGTGATGGCTAAGGGTACAAGCTAAGAGTGATTGTGAGTTGTTAGTATTGGCGCTTGAAGTTGGAGAGGAGGCTTGCAACTGATGGATTTAACTACTGCAAGCCTCACGAACTACTCTCCTCTTTCCTGCATCGTTGGCGCCCTCATAGCGTGCTCTCATCATGATTTCCTCCAAATGACACTAATTCCTGCGATGCCTTTCCAGCTAAGTTTTCTTTGTGGGGTTAGCTTCAGTTCTATTAAGTATTACAATAAGTGTTAAATATATTTTTGGTAAATCTTTTTTAATGACTTCAGTAATCCTTTGCCTCTAATTTCATTTGCACATCTAATGGGTACATTTTTTATAATTTTGGTGTATATTTTTAGATCATCTAAGTATATTTTCAGCTACTTATTTTTCATAAATGTAATTCTATTTGTCCTTGTGATATATTCTTTGCTCAATTTATCCTTATTAGTTTTATCACTAATGAGGACATCAACAGACTTTATCGACGAGTTTATCGGCGTAGGAATCGTAGATCGATGGCTACGATTCACAGTCTTTATTTTTGATGCATTTATGTATTATTTATTTTCTAGTTTCGATGGTACCCTTTTTATTGAGTTTATTTGAGTTGTTGCTCAAGGGGCATTTGAGTCCTTTTCTTTATTTTATTTTAGGCCTATATATTGAGGCCTCATCCATTGTAACATGATGATGATTGGATAATGAAAATTTTATGTGTTTTCTTCTTCTTCTTGTGTGAGCACTAGAGAGAAGGGAGAGAGAGCCCAAGGTGAGAGCAAGCACAATACCCACCAGTCGTTTGAAGAGTCCGCGGCTCGTTGTTTAATTTATTTTTCTTTTCTTTTCTTCTCTTCTCTTCCCCACCCCACCCGCCGACTCCTCCTAGCCCTTCCACTGCCAACCGTCTTCCCCTCCCAAATCACCCCACAACTCAACCACCTCAAACCCACCTGCCAACCTAGCCCCATCCAACCCGACCCCTAGCCGCCCCCTTCCCCATTGCCGCCGGCCCATCATTGTTTTCCCCTCATTATGGTGAGTCCAATCATCATAATGACTTCCTAATTTAGCTCAAGCAAGAGAGGGCAAGATTTGAATTCATTTGAAATTCAAATTCGAATTTCAAATTCTTTCCATATAGGGAATTCCAAATAAGGAAAATATTTATTTACGAGTCCAATTTAAATTCGAAATAGATTGGATTTATTATTGGCTTTCTAAATTTACAAACCTTTTAAGTTGTTTTCCTATTCAAGCCCTAACCTTATTTGAATTTGGATTTAATTTCAAAATGATTCCCTCAAATATCACTTAACCTGAAATTAAATTCAGATTATCTAAATTCCAACCTATCTCTAATCCAAACCTTAGCCGCCCCACTCATCACCAAGCCATCCCCACCCCTTCCCCCTCTCTACCCAAACCGTCAGCTTCCTCCTCCAACCGCTACCTTCTCCTCCCCTCTTCTCTACTTATCTACTCTCACCCTTCAAGGCAAGCATGTATGGCCGATCCTGAGGTCAACCACGATCTTGCCTACAACGCCCAAGGAGAGATCAACATTCTTCGTTCTCCTTTCTACGAGCCGGATTGGGAGTACGACGACTTGGTGGAAAGCTACGTCAACCGCATCATTTATTGCCTCGCTGAGACGATCGAGATTCTACAACCCAGGGCGCCTTGGCTTCTCATCGTACGAGCTCCTCTTTCTCCACCACCGGTTACCGCTCCATTAACGAAGGTCTTCGACGCCATCTTCCTAGTGGTAATCTCCTTCTTTGTATGGTTCGTCTCTCTCCGCTAAGGCCTAAGAGTGAATGAGTGAGAAGGGACTCAAGGTGAACCTCTCGTTATTAAGTGGTGGATTATGTTATGTGCATGTAACATTCACTATTGTCTTTAGATTTTGATTAGGCTGTTTGGTTAATCTCAAGAGCGCTTCTTTGCCTAAGCAAGTTGAATACATTGAATTCCTAACTCTTCTTTATTCGCTAGCAATAATTTTATATTAGCAAGTTTTAATCAATTGCTCCTTTTAATTTCTTAAGTAACTCCTAGTTGATTTACATCAATAACATACATCTCTATAGTCTCATTTACTTCAGGCTCAACTTAGCTATGTGAGTTTTTTTACTACCCAAAGGATCCATAAAGCATAGTCATCTTAATTGTAGTTTTTAAAAAGTCATTAATTCTCCTTGATATCCTTTTATTCCATCAGTTTTTTTGAGGTGCATTGCCATTCATAAGCAACCAATCTGAAATCTAAAAGTTATATCCTCATGTATATTGTATTCTTCTATAGGGTAGATCCAAGATATTGTAACCAATCAGACCTAGATATATATTGAATTTTAATTAAACTAGTATCCAGTTATTTTTAATTTTCTTTGCCATCCTTTAACTAAAATTTGAAGCGAATATTTATTCCGTAACAATGATGCTAATAAAAAATTCTCTTTTTTGCTGATTCTTTTAACAAACTTTTAGTTGGAGCATTGCCACGTTACAATTTCTATCGAGGTTGGGTACTAGGCATGGGTTAAAGTTATGCACTTAGAGGCCCCATTTCAAGGCTCGTCTCAGTATAACTTTAAGAAAAAGGCAATAAGACATACAACTCATTGGGGGCAAGGCGCGCCTTAGGGCAGGTCTTAGCTTAATTTTAATGCAATTTTGAATCGGTTAAGCTTCAAAATTTTATGTTTAGATCATTTTAAAATTTTAATTTATAATATATATATAATTAAACATATGTACTATACTTAAATCAAAGCAAATTTCAGAAGAATTGCATGACCTCAAACTCTAGCTGCACAATTGTATACTTAAATCAAAGCAAATTTGAGAAGAATTGCATGACCTCAAATTCTAGCTGCACAATTGTGTTCTGTCTCCAACATTTTTGTGCCAGTATATTGCCGCTACTTTTCCTTCAACGCCTTGTTTCTTGTTGGAAATCTATTTTCTTATTTTAAGTATAAAGAAGAAGAGAAAATAATTATTTACAATAATGATTCTAACAAAAATTCTGACGAAGATTAAGTAGTGAGAGTGGAAAAACTTTTGCATTCATAAATTATGACCTTAGAATTCTTATTTATGTTAAATTGGAAGTGAGAAAAGCAATTTATTTGGCATTGTTTGTATCCTTCTATGACTTTTAATGGTTTTACTTTGAATTTTTATGATCTTACTTTAACATTTTATTTTGATATTAGTTTGTTATTTATTATTTTATATATATTTTTTAATTTAATGGTTTAATTCTGAGATTTAAACCTCACCTCATGAAAATAACACCTAAATATTCGATTGCACAATTTAAAACCTTGGTACTAGGTAACTTGTGAATCAATTATGCAAGTGCAAGGAAGACATTTTTAAAATGCTTATGCATCCAATCTTTTGTAGAATCAAATGCCATTTTACATGTTCAGATATAAGGATGGAATGTGGATTAATATCGTATTAGTGAACATATTTTTGGGTTTTTATATGATTTGAATAAAGGAAAAATGATTGCATTGGATTTTTGTATTTCGTTAGATTTTGAATGATCCTGATATAAGTTGAGCATTTCCTTCGAAAACAACTTTTCTGAATAATCATGCCAGTACTGATCTTTTTTAACTAGCCACATTATTTCCACAAAAATATAACAAATTCTATGACCCTTTTACTGGAAATAGCAATACTTGGCAAGAATATTCCCATTGCTTAGGCATAGTTGTTGAACCCATTTATAGTCAGGCTTCTTATTTTATTTATTAGTTTTGAATCTATCCAGTTCTATTCGTATGATATCTTTATTTGGATGGGAAAAGAATGCTACACAGCATATTTGATTACCAAAAAGTCTCAGCTTCCCTGTTATTTCACCCATTCTCCTCCTCAGTCATGTAAATTGATGGTTGGACTATATTAGTTGTCAAACTGCGACTTCTCTGCTGTGGCAGTTGTGAAATTTCGGATGTCTGTCTTTCAGTTATTTTGAATTCCACTATTTTTACTCCCTCCCTCTTTGATTATCCCCTCCTTCACACAATCATTGTGTCAGGTAAATATACATGAAATGGGAATGTGAATAGGCCTTCCTTTTACTGATTCTAATCGGTTAATAGAAATTTTCACATTTGGTAAAGATATTTTGATCTGATGCAAGCTTGTTATTCATTCGGCTTTAGTTACATTGTTTAGAGTAAAAGGTGCTATGCTTTTTGTTTCATTTTTCTGTATCGTCACATGCTTCTCTAACTAGTGTATGTTTCATTTTTATTAATTTTATCATAAATTTAGTAGCGTTTTAATTCTCCTTTATGATTCTATATCTGTTCAATGTATTTATGTGCAATATGGTACGGATAAATGTTGCTAATTTTTTACATTCTATGTTTTGTAGCTCCTCGATACCTGTTTGAAATCTTCATATCTACCAGCATATCTTGCGGCAGCATTTATCAAAAAACTAAGCAGATTGGCTCTATCAGTACCACCGTCAGGAGAGCTGATTATTATTGCTTTAATTCATAATCTTCTCCGGAGGCACCCTTCAATCAACTTTTTGGTGCAGCAGGTATAGCTCGTTCTCAACTGTCATCTTTTAAATTGAACAAATCATTGCTAGGATTACCCTTCCAACACAAGTCGCACCTTGATCAAGATTGAATAAGGAGGGAAATCCTTATTGTTTGTGTAAGAGTGGGTTAGAATGTTAATGAGATACCTGAATACATTTGAAAAGGACGTAAAGTGTTACCTTCGTTGCTGTTCTTAAATCTTTCAGTTAACTAATGCTTATATTTTAGGGCCGTTTGGTTAAGAATGCTATGCATTCTAAATGCAATACTTGTAAATTCATTGTATTTGAAATACTTTTGAATTATTTTTTTAAGTGTAAAAGAAATAAATGAGATAATTTTTTTTTTAATGTTTGATTTTAAGTAAAATAAAATTTAGTGTAAAGTGGGGGCGATGATGTTCGGTGGTGGTGGCAGTGGCGGCAAGGCTTCACAAGCAGAGATTTTGATATTTTCAACTGGCAGCAAATTCTAAATACATTAAAAATAAACCAAAGGGAGAATTCCAAATATAGTTTTCTTTCTTGTTTCATCAAATAAAACAGGAAAATATCAAAATCTCTGCTTTTTTTTCTTTTGCATTTCTTTTGCAGCAAATCAAATAGTCCCTTAACCTGAGTTTCCATGTGTTTGACATGATTTCCTCTGTTTAATTTAATTATTTTCTCAGATTGTGTTAAATTATTTCCTCTGTTAAAACCAAATAGTCCCTTAACCTCTGTTTCCATGTGTTTGACATATTTCCCTTAACCTCTTTTTGCTCAATTAAATTCTTGTTTTTTGTTTATATTAAGAAGCTTCATAGAGAAACGCTGTACTTATGAATACTTTATATGCCCTTTCCAGCAAGTTGATGATCTTGTGAATGGGGATGCTTCTGCCGAAGGTGATGACTTTGAAGAGTATGTAATGAAGTCTAATGCAGATCCTGCTGTCCAAAGTATGAAACATTGTATTGATCCATTTAACAATGAGGAGGCAAACCCTCTTAAATCTAATGCAATGCGTAAGTTTTATCACAAGATCCATTGACTTTCTATTTTGTTTTGCTCCAAATCTTTTTTTTTTTTCTTGTGTCTAATCAAAACATATCTTTGGAGACTTACATTTTTTGTCTTATTTTTGCAATTTTTTTGCATAATGGGGGTATCGGTCTAAGTGCAGCTCCAAGTTTTTCGTAAATAAATTATCTTAGATTACTATTTTTCTATATCTTTTTTAATCATATTATCTGTTGGATTCACACTTTCGATGTGATCTTATCCCAGGAAGTTCTTTATGGGAAATCGATACTCTCCGTCACCACTATTGTCCTGCCGTTTCTAGGTAAATAAAAAAGGGAGATTATTCTGTGCGGACACCGGACGGTTCTCGGTGCCAAGCGTAACCAGACGGTTCTCCCGTTCGATGTCCGCACAGAATAATCTCGGTACATTTCTGAAGTGACGTGATGTATTTTTATTGGTCTATGGATCACATCCAGACTCCGCACCTAATAATTTGCCAAGAAAAAAAAAAAAGCTAAACTTATCTTCATCTACACCGCCATTTCTCTCACTGACATCAACGTTGTTACAGATTTGTGGCTTCACTTGAGAATGACTTGACTGTAAGGGCTAAAACATCTGAAATGGCCATTTCAGATTTTAGTTCCGGTTCCTATGCCACAATCTTTAGAGAAGAGGTGAAAATAAAACCATACTGTCTCCATTTTCTCAATGGAACTATTAATGGATTCGTGGAAACTAATAAATCCCTGTAAATTCTGCTACACAGGTTCGGCGCAGAATTAAACAATGCCCAGTTGCCTTTTACAGGGAAACACCGACATGTCTGTTCAATGAATCAGATTTTCCAGGTTGGTCATTTGGAGATCATCAGCAGGTTGGTGTTGAAGAAAATGGAAATGGAGTTGACAGGGTGGTGGGAAAAATAACTTTGGAGAGCGAAGATCGAGATGTGAAGAGGCTGCGGATAGAGAGTTATTAATTGTGGTCATTCCAGGACTGATGATTTCTTTTTTTTTTTTTTTTAATAATACAAAATGTGCACGAATTTTGGCGGATGATTTTCTTTAGGTGTACAGTGGCTAGGAAGAGGGCGAGTGAAATCTGCTCTCCAAATATGGCATTATTACGTCCGGTGTCCGGATGATTCATCCGGATTGGTCATCCGGACACTAATCCAGACGTGCCATGTCAATCAAATATATCGGGCCCCAACGTATTTTGATGATGTAGCACATCTGGATTGGATATCCGGTGACCGTAATTCGCCCAAATATGCCATCAAATTTTGTAGTTTTCAGGAGATTGCTAGTTATGTTAAGTTTGTCTGTGAGAAATTTGAAGCATTTGTTATTCGAGTGTAAAATTACGATTGGTTTTTGAACTTGTTTCAATTGGAAAATCGTCATTTTTTAAAGAATACACATTGAGTCTGGAGATATATTTAAAAATTTTAATTTTTTTTGAATAAATATGCATGTATAAGCAATTAATTTTATAGGTAAAACTTGGTATATAATTCTCCTTCGTAAGCCTGAAAGAAATAATATAAAACATACTTAAGCTAAGTTGATTATCAAGAAATTAATGTAACATGAGTTAGAAGCTCTTAAGAACCGGAGAAATTATTTTGTGCATACACCGTATGATTCGGAGTAGGTTGTAGTCGAATATTTGTCTTATCAAGCCTGGCTTGTTTAATCTTTAATGAGCTCGAGCTCATTTGAGAAACACCAATGCATGTGATATATATATCTCGAGTAACTTGATAAGCTTTTGAGTCTAGTTGAGCTGAGTTTGAAGAAGCTCGATAAGCTTGGCTCGCGAGCTCATTAATGAGTCAAGTTCGCGCCGGCTCAACTCACACCTCTAATTCAAAGACCAATTAGAATGTATTACATCATCCAATATGGAGCTATATCGAACAAAAAATTAATGTTAAGCATTCTGATTGATCTTTGGATGTCGTCCCAGTCTGCAAATAATAATTTTCTAGGAATTGAGGCTCACAACCCTCTAATTGGGAGAAATTATTGTGTAGATGCCAAACACAATTCATCATTTGAAGACCAATCAGAATATACCACAATAGTAGTGCCAAGGTGGAATGATGCGACACATTCTGGTTATCTCTAAGCGAACGTTCGGTGTCCACACAAAATAATTTGCCCACTCATTAATGTTGTGGTTTTATGCTGTTTATAATGGCCAATTCTTTAGATATCCCTTGTGCCTGATTTCCACGTTTCCCTCTTTTTTTTCTTTTTCCCTGCACTTCTATCATGCATAGTATAATTTTGAAGCTCTAGGCTGTCCAGAACACACTATTCTTGTTTGGGAGTTTTTTCTCATGTCCTCTCTTTTTAACACCACATAAATTACCTTGTGTATAATTTACAAATTTGCAATGATTGTCTCCACTACCATACACATAATAACCCTACTATATACAATAATACAGCTGTGGAAAAATAGAAAACTGGATAAGCCTAATATATACGAAGAGAACAGATTGTCTGCTAATTAATTCTAACTCCTGATGTGTAAATAGCTTCAGTAGCTGCAAGTCACTTCCAAGTTGATCACGAAGATCGCACATATTTGCTGTAGAAGATAAAAGGAATCGTTTATTAGATTCATATCATCGGAAAATACAAAGGAATCATTCACTTGATGTGTTAGTTGCTCATTGAATCCGGTTTGGATGATTTATACTGTAACGTAAAATATGAGGAAAAGAAAAAAAAAAATAAGGCTGATCAACTAGTGGAAAAATTAATTTGTGCGGACCGAATGACGTCCAAAGACCAATAAAAATGCATCACATCACCCTTTTACTGCACCGCGGCTCGCACTCGGTACTGGTACCGATGCTGGGTACCGCGGCATCCGGACGTAGAGTTGCGTCCGACGTCCGCACAGAATAATTTCTCCAACTCGTGGACTTTTCATCATGACAAATTTTGATTGGTTAACTTTGGATTGGTGGGGTCATATGATGAGCCCCACTCATCAAAGACCGGCTAATTGTGGCTCAACTAACACCAATGAGTCAGATTGTGAATGAATAAATTGCATATAAAGTGAATTTCTCGGCAAAATGCTTTGAAAGAGAGAGGTAGCTTAGAGTGCTCTGCTGAGTGATCACTGGCTTGAAGTTTAAACCTTTACTTCGAGCCCACGAAAGAACCCAACTTGGATAAGTCAGGCACCCAAAATGACAGTTCAGATGATCCAGTTGTGAACATAAGGCTTCCTGGGGCCCATTTTATCAGCGGTGGTTCTACGTCAGTACTCGCCCAACAGGCAACCTGAACAACAATTCAATGGCAAAGCTTTAGCTAAACGAAAAGAAGACCATCTCAAAATCATCAAGTTTACATTTGATTCCTCAAGAAAAGAATTGAAAAAATGCCTTGAATTATGGACAGAATAAAATATAAAAGAAATAAAACACGAATAAGATGAAAGAGTATTAGTGCAAGTTTAGGGTAGCCCGTTGGTTGAAGGGACAGAAATGTTATGTGCGTGTCTGTTAGACTGGTCCAACCAGTCCGACGGGACCGGCTTAAGCAAACAAAGGCGGAAATGTTCGCCTCCTGTACGTGCCGAACGCACGCCCGGGCGTGCGTGAGCCGTTTAGGAAGGAGTTTTTTGGGAGTTAGGAGGGAAATTTGAATGTAGAGACTGTTTAGGGATTTACTTTTGATTTGTATGCATTAAATAGTTTGTTTTCCTAGAGTTAGGGCATTCTGAATTTGGCTGAATTTGATATGCCTTAGGTTTTTGGGCCTAGCGGCGTCTAGAGATTTGAGAGAGATAGATCATCCTCTCGAATAGAGGATCAATTGTATCTTGGTATTTTCCGTTTCTATTTCATCAAATAATACAAATTATCTACTGTTTTCCTGATTTTGTGTAGATTCTTGTGAAGAATTTTTGTTGGTTTCCAAAGAATGATAGAAAATTCTTGAGATCTTCAACTGTTTCCTATCAGTGTTCTACTTTGGCATTTATCAGCCCTAAAAAGAAAAGAATATCAGTGAGAATCTAAGTACAATAGGAATAATACCTTGCCACTTCTGACACTCCAAGCATAGACACTTCCATCACCAGAGCCTGTTAGATATCACATCAAATTGTTGGTAAGATTGGTTAAATTCAGAAACATCACGGTCATTGTATGAAAAGGGAAGAAGGAAAGAAAATCGCATACTTTGTTGCTAAGACGATGTGTGAAAATTCTCTTACCTGATAAAATGTACATTCCGTCAGGACTGAAAGAAGCCTCCAAAGTTGCGTGGCTTGAAACTGACTTTACGTTATAAGTAGACAGCTGATAATAATAAATAAAGATAATCTCAGGGAATGGCAAATTCCTAAAGAAGTTACAAGTGCTCATACACAGCCATTTCAGCAAACTCCCACTACCCCTCTTCTGTGGTGCATTTTCCTTGCAATATTATCTCAATTAAAAAAGGAGCGGTGAAATTCATTTTTGTTCTCATTTTTAGTGACCTAAATAAATCTTTTCCAAGCGAATAATTTTCTCTCACAATTCTTAAGTTGATGATCGACATGGCATCGTATTAAACGCTCTCCTTTATGGATGATTCATCTGTGTATAATTAAATTAGAATGGCCACAAAATGAACAATCCATGGTGTTTTCAAGTCTAATTAGCATATATTGCTTTAAGATGAAGCATTTTGGTCTCAAGAATGTTGGTGTCACATTTCAGTAGGAAGTGAGCCATATTTTTAACAAATTTATCCATAAAAAAGGTTGAATGTCATGCCCATGATCTTGTGGATGAAAGCAAGTCCAACGAATACCACTCTTTGATCTTCAAATCATTTTCAAGAGCTTATATTATTATGGCCTCAAGATGAACCCTCTGAAATATACATATGAGGTAATCGTAGGAAAGTCCCTTGAGTCAGTCCATGCTTGATGTTGTAGTTGTAATGTCTACTCAAGTTGATTTTGAATCTTTTATAGACAGAATTGAAATTGTTTAGTGAATGATTTCTAGTTGGAAGCAATTGGACCACTTTGCTATGGAGCTTCTCAAAATATGACATTTTTGTGGTTTTGTTTGATTTGATTTTTAGATTGTAATGTTGTGAGTTTTAAGTTTGTTGTTTAAATTTCAGAAAATAACTTCAGAGTGTCAAGAAAAATTGTGATAGGGAGGTCACATTAGGCGGCATTTTAACCAATCACATGCATCAATAATAGCCCAAAAGAAATCTATTATGAGAGAGAAGTTCACTAAGTTGGACTTGCCTATCATCAGCCATAGAATTTCTTTATGATTCATTCACATTATAAATTACAATTTTTTTATAACATGCTTATTTTATTATATGTGGGGATATCATTATCTTTTATTCTTCAACAAGCTTAAAAATAGTGTAATGTTTCAATAATATAGATGTAATAAGCTATCACTTACAAGATTACCGCGGAAGGAGTCAAGGATGTGAATATGCCCATCCATAGTAGTTAAAAGCATGAGCCTTCCATCACTACTAAATTTTAGTACATTGGCTTCAGATTTATCTGCTCCAACAGAATATGTATCAAATGGGCCCTTCGCAATGACAAAAAAAAATGCGATAAAAAATTAATAATCATAAAACATATCAAATGATGTCATTATCTAGATAGCAATCATTACAAACCTTTTCAAATTTTCGAGCATCAAACATCCTTATCAATCCTCCAAACGCAATAGCAAAAACCATTCCTTGGTCATCATAAGAAACCGCAGGTCTTCCTTGCACGCGTAGAAGGCCCTAAAGAAGACAAGTGAGGTTTTTATCTCATTCAGCCATTCTATATTCTGATTAGGTACTTTGAAGTTCGTACCTGAGACTTCTCAGCTCGTTGATCCCATAGCAAAACGGTTCTATCAAGAGAACCTGACACAAAAGACTCTTTACAGGGACACAATGAAAGAGAAACAACCCTAGGGAAAATATAAGTACAAGTCATGTGATTAGATAATTTTTTAATGATAAATTCTATATATAAAGGTCAAAGAGAAAATGTGCATGCCTATCATGGTGACCTTTGAAGTACCGCAAATATTTATTATCATTGAGAGATAAGAGCCTAAGAGATTCTGAAGAAATTTTGAAAAAAATAAATATATTAGTTGAAAGTGACCAAAGCATATCGTATAAGTAAAATCGTCCAGTTTACCCACCATCCCAACCATTTTTGGATGAGTATATAACTGTTGTTGGATGAGAAGTGAAGCAAACCAAATCAACTCCATATTTTTTGCTATTGATGGTCTTCAAGCACCTGTAAGAGAAATAGGGCGTCAACCAAAACAGTCAAAGAAATAACAAAATCAAGAGCGATAAACAAGAAAACCATAATTATTAGACAACAATTCAAATCAAAACTGACATCAAAAGGTTATGAAAAGTGAAAGAATATGCGGAGGGGATCATGGCTTTGATTTTTGAAACAGAGGTAACCATAAATCCATAAAAGATGGCGTGAAGAGATGCCTCTTTCAGTCTTATATTTGTTATTAGTTTGCCCCTCTTTTTTTTTTTTTTAAGTCAACAAACGCTTCAATGACCTGCCTTATATGTTGAATAAAAGCAGAAGAGTCTAACTACCATAATTAGTGCCACACCGACTAAATGAAATGAAAGAGAGCTCGAACGTTTCAATGACCTGCCTAATATGTTGGAAATAAGCAAAGAGTCTAACTGATTAAAAGGAAATTTCAAGAATAGCTGTTTTGGCTTGGCCTACTATATCTAGGGCCAACTACAAGCATTGCAGGTACACCTGGAGCAAGTTATAGTCCTCTACATAGTGAGTCAGCCATGATTAGCACCACACCTAGTAAATGATAGGAAAGAGAGCCTGAACGCTTAGATGACCTGCCTTGACAAAGGGTTACTGTTGCATATAAAGTGAAACACTTAATTAAGGATTGGGTGACCATTTGTTGCTCTCACAAATGCAATGTCACTTACATAGCAACTAATTTATTTTAGCGGAATCACATCTATTCTTGGAAACTATACTAACCTTCACCAATAGCCCATCTTATTCATGACATTGCCCAATCAGAAATACTAATAAAATGAGAGAGAACAATTTGTGTAGCTAAAAATGATTGGAAAGTGTTATTTCTAAATACAGGACTTAATTGACAAAATGGAAGAAAAAATATGTGAAAACTCAAAATTACTAAAATCTCGTACCAAACAATCACCTTTGATAGTACTTGGAAGAATCCCAAATTCACCGAACTAAAAACTGTGAATGAATGTTATAGGAGAAACTTTGTTCATAAGACCAGTGCAAAAATGCTATAAGAAAGAAAACATGTGCATTGGTACTCAAATTACACAATAATCCATGCAGCTTGTTTGTCTGTTTTCTAAACTATAGATACAATTTCTGCTGCAATCAACATTACCTTCAAGTCAAGATAACAACGCCCAAAAATCAATGGAAAATTTAGCAAACATGGCTTGGAGTAATGCTATATGGTTATGGGCAATATCTCTATCAGAATGCTTATTTATTTTATTTAAAAAAAAAAAAAACACACTCAATTGAATTGTAATCTAGTTAAACTATTGAGATTTGATTTATCCTTTCAGTAATCATTAAGATGAAACTCATTAGCAAACAAGATGATTTCTAAATTCAGCTCATGTCTTGAATAGCAGAAAAATCTTAGCATCTACATATGGCTATGTGGAGCTCATGACAACATCAGGCTGCTTAAAGATGACATTTCAGCTTGTTCATCAACATTTACCGTTTATAGCAAAAGATAAGCAAAAGGAGAGCTGAAAAGAGGCAGCAACAAACTATCTATCAATCAATAATCCTACCATATATATAGTTCCACTACAGGGTTCTGAAATCTATGTTAATTGCTACAAATTTGGTAACTCCATAACCAAACAATGCACTAGGAGAGATAAAGAAATAATATGAGATATTTGATAATGGAAAACTGGAAAATGCAATGAACACTTCCTCAATTTAAATGTATCGAACAAAATATAACGGTAGCTGAAACCAGACATACCTGAACCTTACTGCACAGCTATATAGATCAGCTCAATTAAAAATAAGAATTTCAGCTTAACATTGAGTTGAGAAATGCGCCAGAAGAGATGAACTAATGACATACATTATTTGATCAGGCAAGACTGGAAAATGCAGTCATACCTTCCCAAATTTGAATGTTACAAAAAAGAATGCCTAATTAGTTAAAAATATGTACTCCAGAACCTTGTAGAACCAACTATATAGATGTAATCAATCACAATCATAAAATTCTCAAATCTCAAATTCGCTTTGAGTTTACAAAGTTTGTTTGTCTTGGACATGTGAAATTATCCCTAGTAAATCAAATTAAAAATAAGTAACAGATGTTATAAGGCTAGGTTATGCTTTGCTAAGTATATTATGTGAATAAATCAGCATGCAATACATGGATGGACTTTCATCTAAAAAACATAATTTACACCAGAAGAAATAAAATAACCATACTAGCTGTCTCAAAATGATTTGCTTAAAAACTAAGAATGTTGAAAAAACACAAAAAAAATGCTGTTTAGGAAAACCTGAACACTAAAGGCTAAAACGGATAAAAGCAACTATACCAAGTCTCCGAGGGGAATGGTTAGCTTGTCACAGTTGTTAATGCCTTAAAATCATATGCAAAACTGCAAAAGAAGAGGAAACATACAATGCATTCTGTATATCATAAAGACGAATTGATTCATCAGCACTAGCCGTCACAAGATAACTCGTAGCTTTATGGAAATCCATTGAAGTGATTCTACCATTCTGAAATCCAGGTAAATTAGAATGTAAGATACACATATAATACCTGTAATAGAAGGGGATATTTGCATGCTAAATTACTTTAATAAACTGATTACAAACTATCAGTAGAAAATTAAAAACTGAAGCTTTCACCGTGGTAAATGCAATAAAGAAGTCAGGAAATAACTTGAAAATTACTTAGCTCCGTGCTACACAAAACACCAGAATTGCTTGAAAGAGAGGCTACACTATAGCATAAAGGATCTTTGCTTTTTTTTAGCAACACAAAAGGACAATAGAAAAGCAATATGAAATAAGTAAGAAAAGGGGAATACAATGCACAGAAAAATCCCTATAGCGGAAAAAATTCGTAATGTGTTACTATTTATGTTGATAGGAAGGAATTTTTGGTGTACTATTGCCCGCATATGTTGGACATATAATAATCAAATAATAGAAGGAAACATAACTCTGTGATATGAGGATATAAAAACAAATCTTTTTATCAAAACTTATCTTCATAATAAGAACAACTTCCAATGTTAGAAACCCTTCCTAATAAATTAACTGACGCCATTACTCCCACTCAAGTTGGAGCATATATAGTTATTAGCTGTAGTTTGTTTCAAAGAAAGCACAACATCCCTTGTGAAATGACAATCTAATTCAATATGTTTAATTCATTCATGAGATAAGATTGCTTGCAATGTATATGCTGGCGCAATCATCACGGTATAAAGACATACATAATAAATATGGCATTGGGTTCTTGAGGGAGTTGGATGGTGTAATGGATTGGAGGCTAATGAAAGCGATGCTAAGATTTAGTGGTCGTCATCTAATGCTTGACAACCGACCATGACGAAGAGCTACAAAATAGTAAGGGGAATGTAAATAATAAAAAAATCATAACTATGATAGATTGAAGCAATCATAACTCAATCTTCAACAAGCATATTCTATAAAAAAAATAAAAGAGCATCTCTCCATAACTAACGAGGAACATTCATGTAAAACATAAATACTGTGGCAATATCAGGAATTTGGCAATTTTTACATTCAACAATACACCTATGTTGAAAGGTACAAGTGCAAGTATAATGAATAATACTATTAGTACAGCAGAAGATGCAAAACTAAGATTCCATGAATTCTAAAATACTATCAATGCATAATGTTTTTAGTAAGAAGAAAAATTAAAATTTTATTTCTTGATAAACAGTTTGAAATATGTGATAGGCCTTAAAGCGACATTTAAGTAAACCCATTTAACTTGTTAAAAATCATTAATGAAATTGACAAAATAATTAATGCCCATATGAGTCAAGATTGGGCTACAACCCCAAATGTTTGAGTAAATTAACCCAAAAGGGAAAAGATTATGACTAGTGGTAGAGGATGGAATGACACGCTATGGTGTTTAAGTAGCTCACATGTATAAACATAAAGTTTGAGTACATATGAAGACCTAGAGACAACAAAGTATATTGGAAGGAGGTGACCCAATCCACAATACCAATGCAAAGGGTAACACCAGAGGAAAGAATGAAAAGAACATAAGCCATCAAATAGTATACCCCGTTATCATCAACTAATAGGCTCAACCATCCTCAACATCTCCACCAATAGTATTTTTCAAGCAAAAATCCTACAAGTCATAATAGAAGGGATAGAATATTACAAAACAATTACGAGGTTTAGTAAGTTAATGAGTTAATAATAAATTGATAAAAATTTGTGGAATAGTTAAAATCTAGAAGATCAACAAAGTTTTAAAAGTCAAAATGCCTTCCTAAGTTTTAGGAGTCAAACTGCCTTTCCTGAAGTGAGGGAGGAGGACCCATCAGCCATAATCTCAATAGAGAGGTTATATGGAGATAGGAGAAAAGTTGGCAAAAATCTATAATATCATAAGAGGCATTTGAATTTAAAATCTAGGACATGTTCGTGGAAATAGACATAGCATATTGTAAAAACAAAAGAAGCAAATGTAGAGGTCTGAGAGTTTTGAAGAAAGCAATCATATTCCTCCTCATATAGCATGACAGAACCAAGAGGAGCTAATGAGCTATTAAGAGGAGAAACATTAGCAAAAACAATTGTTTGGATGCACTCACATTGGGTAGTAAGAGGAAAACCAAATTTAGCTCCACGCGTTCCACAGAAAAATCGATGTGACCACAATGAGACCATGGAAAAAAGGACTTCTTCCCTCTAAGGCCACATCCACTATTACTACGTCTCACAACCATGACTGCCACAACTACAACAATGCTTGGTAGTAAGGATAATCCAATAAATAAATAAAAAAGGAAAGGGAGATGATAGCTTAGTGACTTAAAGAACATGATAGAAAGAGACGGCGAGATTAGTGATTGCAAATGTAGGAGGGATGGGTGAAAGTCGAAGATAAATTTAGCAATTAGAATTTCTTTATTCTCATGTTGCTAGCTTTAGAATTCGTGGTCTATATTGAAGTAACTCATCCAACATATCCCGAATGGTAGTATAAGATTCCTAGATGGACAAATCCTTTTGTTAAATAGCTATGAAGTCTAGACACGAACACAACATGACACATACGCAATATAACTATAAAAAGTAGGGCTAATAGTGCCTTGATTAGGATGATGCCGAAGGGTTATTCTTGTTGTATTAAGCTTCTTTGATATATTAGAAAACCAACGAGTGAAAGTATAGTGAGGAAGTGATGGTGGAGAGATGGAGGTGAGCCAAGTGAGGTGTTTCCAAGTAAACCCATGAGCATTATCTAGGTTTAAGAAAATTAACATTGGCTCATGAGGGGATCTCCTAACAAGGAAGCACTTTGAAAGGTTTTAGTGATGAGTATAACAATATTCTAGAGTTGATGGCAAGTTTCCAAGTGCGGGAGCAACACCTAAATTAGGTATATGAAAACCTAATTTGGTCAAATTGCATTATGTGGGTTTATCTTCCAATATTTGATGTAGATGCTTGTAGTTGAGGAAGATGGGAGGGGAGGGAGTCATGGAGAGGTAGTACATTAAGACAAAACAACACATTAAAAACAGCAACAAACCTAAATTAACTCCCACCAAGAAATGCAAAAATCAGAAATCATGCCATGGAGCAAAAAATATATAAAGCACTTTTTACAATTATTATTCAAATCATCAACAATTCAACATTTCAGTAAAAATACATATTTAAATAACATTACTCCATGTTTATAATTGAAATTTTCAAATACCCTAACACTTAAGAGTGGTTTCATCTTTGTAGGTGGTTGAAATTTCTGTGGAGGAGAAAGATAGCTGGCACCTTGCTTGAAAGGTGGGTAGATGTTGCATTTTGTTAGTTGAAGCTTATAAGGTATCCTCTTTGGTGGTCCCTACATGCTAGAATTAAATTCACTAAGTCTCCGTTTGGATCTCCACATGATATGAAGCATTGTTTGACCACACTCTCTATCTTGAGCCTATATGAGATATCCAACATCTTCTTCTAGCACAATTTGATATGATGATGAACTTAGATGTATGTGAAGGTCTCTTGATACTTTTACACCTTCGTAACTTACAATACAAAGAAAAGCCAAACGGTGCAATAAGACAACACATAACCACACAACATAAAGTGTCTTTACAAACAACACAGACTTGGAAAATAACAAGACAGACATAACGTTTTGACCATTAACTATTATTTTTTTATCATAGACCAAGCCAAAGGCCTATGACCAACATCAAGGATGCTAAACATCATGGACACGTTATATATTATAAATTATTAATATAAAATATATAATTACTAGTAATTTCTACTAAAAGGCCAAGGAAATTTTTAAAAACAAATTTTAAACATGCTCATGAAATAATAAGTAATTTAAAAATATACAAGTTTTACCCATTTTATTTGGTAAGCATGAGTATGTCAAATTAAGGCATCCGAACTTATTAGAACACAAACAATAAAGATCAAGAGCCATAGCCATTCTTTAAATTTTTAATTAGATTTGAAAATGTGTTGAAATGAGTTGCCCAAAAAGTTATATTGTGTCAATCGAACTTTCCTCAGAGCTAAATGACAAAAAAGAGGCTAAGGCATGAACACAAAAGATATCAACTAAACCAAGAAGAAGACATTGACTAGGAGAGACATGGGACATACATGAAGCCTGAGATATCTGTGATTCCTTTCATGGCTCGTTAAAGGGGAGAGGCTTAGGTGATGATCGAAGAAATAAGGATTAGAGGCTTTACATGTAGCCTCCGATTCATGTCAATGGTGCCCACTCATGAAAGAGAGATGATATGCTCAGATGCTCATGGAAAAAGGCAAGGAGAGATGATAAACTTTAACACTATGTCTTGTTCATGGAAGAAGAGGTGGAGAGATAGCTAGGGCATGCACCCATGCATGCAAGATAGACACGAGAGGTGCATAAATGCAAGAGAGATTGGAGGCTTATGCACGATACTACTTCATTAAGACATGTAACACAATTATTTATACATCCCAAGCACATCATGATGTGTCCTTGCATGCATACAGCCCATGTACAACTCATATCAAAACCTTATTTCAGCTAGAAATGAATTCAAAACAATTATAAAAGTGTCGGACATGTGTTGTGGTGTGTCGGAGCCATGTCTGGCACGTACACAAATGGCATTTAGAATCATTCATCCTGCACAGTTGGAGACAAAATAAGTTAGAGTACAATGTATGCTCCATTGAGATGTTGCTTTTCTAGAAGTAGAGTAGAAAAATCATACATAGCCTTGGCCATCTCATTAAAAAGATTGTTGAGGAAATAGATGGCTCTAAACTATTCAACGGCCAAGCAAGAATAGAAAAATATATATACTTATCATTTGGAGAACTTGATGATATAATCACGAGTCAGACGAGAGGCAGAGTTTGTCATGAGATACAAGTAGGAAGTGAAAGTCCTTCAGCTGGCCAAAAGGGGTACTTCATGCCATTGAGTTTGATGAAGGTCCCAATGGTGGAGGAGGTTTTGCATCATATAAAGATGGAGAGGCATTGATATTGCTTGAGATAAATAAAAAGTGGAAGAATGATTGAGATTTATAAGCAAAAAATAAGAAGTAACGGAAGATGTAACAATGGATGAGAAAGCAAATGAAAGTGGTTGTGTAAGTGGGCGAGCAAGAGTATGTATAACACCCAAATTTTTCAAAAAGAGATACAAAAATATATCCTAAATGATATAAGAGTACTGCATACCAGCGATGCAAACTAGTTCCAACATAAAAGATGTGCTTCGTAGCATGTAAGAATCCCCTTCCATATCAATAGTCCAGTTCAGACCAAACCATGAATCCTTAAATATTATTTTCCCGTTTCATATAATTATTACGAACAAATGAAAGATATAGCATACTGTGGCAATTCAAACCAACTTGGGAAATTAAGAAATAACTAAAATCATGTGAAGGGAAAACTTCAGAAAAGTAACAACACAAAATGAAGAAATGCACAGAACAAAAATGAACAATAAAAATACATACAAAATGGATCAATAAAAGGGGGCTTACATAATCCCTGAACGCCATACCAACTTCCATGCTTTTCAACACCTCGTCCGTCAGCTCCATGGAAACCCTCTCCTCTTTCTCAGGCTGCGCGCCTGCGGAAAAAAATAGGAGGATAACAAAGGCATCAAGGATCGAGAAGGCCGGCGGAGAATAGTGTGTCGAACAAACGAAAAAATGAATGCGATATCTTCAACAACTCAATTGATACCATGCATTTCAGCGAAGAAGAATGTTCCTAGTGAAAGTTGAGATTTTCTCAGAAGAGGCAGAAAGGGTTTAAGGAATGATCGTCCCCAATCGAAGATATTAACATCGGTTGTTCAGAAACCCTACAGGTAGATTTTTTTTTTGGTTGAGTAAATATAAGAGGGAACAAAACAACAAGAATATCGGGGATCGAAAGAAAAAATAAGGCTAAAAATTAAAAGAGACCCTTCATTATTCGCAAGGGGTTAGCTCTGGACTCTGGGGTAAAATATTTCTCATTTGACTTTTAGATTACACAAATTTGAATTAAAATAGTCCTTTAGAGATTAATAAAATTTGACTTTATATAAGGTTAAATTGGAATTAATTTAGTATACTAAATTCTATCAATTTCTACTTAGGTTCATTTGAGATCATTTTGATATTATTGAGGGCCTGAACTTTTATTAGGTCCGGTGTAAGGACGTAGATAAACGTCCGGTCGGAGGCAAAATCCCGCCAAAAAATTTGGTATTTGCTCGGTATTGCTAGTTATTATTTGATAATAATGAGGAATATCGCTCTGTGAAGACCAATACCGAGTTATATCGAGTGATACCAAGTAATATCGAGTTGTACCGAGTTTTTCCTAGAAAAAACTCGGTATTGATCGGTATAGCTCGGTATAACTCGGTATTGGATCTTTACGTGATGGTATTCCTCGTTATTGTTTGGTATTGCTCGGTATTTCTCATTTTTTGGCACGATTTGACCTCGACCGACGTTCCTCTACGTCCGGTCGGAGGACGTAATTATTATTCCTAAATTAGAAAGATGACTCTATGACTAAATTGATTATATATAGGTAAATGGACTATTTTGAATCCTTTCCCAAAAAAATAATGCAGATTTTTTTCTTTGGTATTGTCTTAAAAGGATATATATAATGCTGGAGAAAGTTCATATTGATAAAGTTAGAGAGACTACCTCTTAGCATCATATGAAGATTCAACACATATATAAATAAGAGAAGAATGTCATAGTTCTTATGTAGCAACCTTGGGAAAGGATGTGGAAACCCTAGAAAGGTGAAGACTATGAGACTTGGATCAGTTGAAATGGTTCCACTACATGTCGTTGATGACAAATATGATGCCCTCCCTTATGATTAGGGAAGCTATTTATATAATATAGTAAACATAATTGTATAATAAGATTTTGTGATGGAAACTAGAAGAGTCAAATAGCATTAGTGTTGGAGAAGTAAAATAATGAACACAAACAAGAAAGAGATAATGAAGCAGAAAGAAATAACACTAGGATTTAACGTGAAAAAATTCAAAGCCGGAAAAAAACCACGAAGCCACACCACATCAAAAAATTCACTATAAAAATTTTGGTAAAATAGTACATATCTCTCTTCTCTTCTCTCTCTCTCCTTGCTTCTCTTCACTTTTGCACTGTTCTCACACTAGAACATACAAAGAGAAACATATCGAAACCACGAAGGGTGCAACCCTTAATGAAAAACAAGAAAGAAAACGGTTAGGCTATCTAACAACATCGTAGAGCCAAGTTTGGAGTGCCACATCACTCAACACTCTATCCCCTATTTGCTTGATAGTGCCATAGTGCTAAGGTTTGAAGCATCGCGGCGCTCCCAAACAACACTGAGATTTGGAGGTCTGCAATGCTCCGCTCTCTATTTTTTTTTCAAGCAAACTACAAAAGCATTACAACGTTGTCCGATTGTAAAAAAAAAATCCAAGTGCAAAGCACCCGAACCCAAGTGGGTGGAGGACCCTCTACAACCCCCTAGTGAGCTCAACAGATTGAATTGCAGTTTGAGGCAATAGTACAACCCAAATGATCAATACAATCAGATTCCATACAAAACTAACAATTTGAGTTATCTTTAAAAAAATTATTTATTGTTTATTTGATGATTTGTTTTTGTGGATGAGAGATTAGAGACTAATAAGTATAGTATAAAACTTGGTGTTGATGTCGAGAGGAATAGTTCACATCAACGATATATATCAGCTTTATAAGCAATAGAGTGTGTCAATGCTATGGAGATTGTGGGGTATAATTCATACTACAATGAGTGTTGGTGTAGCTGAATAAAAATGATGGACAATGTCGTAGGTAATGCTAGTGACCCTTGTCCACGGCAACTTGTCGAAAAAAGAATTTTACAATGGTTCACACTTTATTGGTATTTCCTTTTATATTTTTGCAGGATTATATTTCATCCGTAGTTGTTCTTATGGGGTATTTAGCAAAGATGCTTGTATATTGGTAATCCATCATAAGTTTTGATTTCTAGCACAAATTGGATATTTTTAGGTGAAAACTTTCCGTTAGAGGACTTTGACAAAGGCTTTAGAGGATTTTACCAACTAAATTAGTTTACACTAAATATAAAAAAAATAGTATTTGTCACTCTCTTTTATATTTATTTACTTGTTAAGGTGAGAAATTAAAAAAAAAAAAAAAGCTTATAAGGTCATTTGAAGGAGCAATTATTACGTCCGGTCACCAAACGCGTTCATAGACCAATAAGCACGCGCCATGTCACCTGAAACTCGGTACAATATTGTTCGGTATACATTCAGATACGTTCGGATTTTACCGGACGTAATAATTGCTCCATTTGAAGTTGATCCTCAGTTATAGCCTTTGTATTAACTTGTCCTGATTTGAACAGTTAGCTTTGTGAGATGACTACGAGCCCAAGTTCATTTCATGCATGTGATATTTCATGTGACCTTGTATATATATATCTTGATTTCAATCATTTTGCAACCTCAACATTCACATTCGATTTGATCTTACACAACAGTTGTTCATCTCATACTTCATTGGATTGATAATTTACTTCAATTATTTAACAAAAAAAACTCTTAATTTTTTTTTAATATTTTTAGGGAAAAAAGAATTTAGTTAATGAAGAAAATGAGTAATTTTATGGAACTTTTATTAGGTTCGGTGCAAGGACGTAGAGGAACGTCCGGTCGGAGGCAATTTTCCGTCCAAAAACTAGGTATTTGCTCGGTACAACTAGGTATTATTTGATAATAATGAAGAATACCATTCTCTGAAGACCAATACCGAGTTATACCGAGCTGTACCGAGAAATACCGAGTTGTACCGAGTTTTTCTAAAAAAAACTCGGTACAACTTTTGTATAACTCGGTATTTGCTCGGTAAAGCCCGAAATAACTCGGTATTGGATATTCAAATGATGGTATTCTTCGTTATTGTTTGACATTGCTCGGTATTTGCTCTGTACATCTCAGTATTTGGCGGGAATTTGCCTCCGACCGGATGTTCCTCTACGTCCGGTCGGAGGACGTAATAATTGTTCAATTTTATGAGAACTTTAACTAATGTAGCATGGGGAACGTGTGCTCCTTAATATGAAAGGAACGATATGCTAGCTTATTGTTTCTATTTCAATGGATATATAATATTAGGTGATTTGTAGGCTTCGTTTAGGGCAGTTTTTTTTAATATTTTTTAAAATAAATTTTTAGTACAAAAATTTCTCTGCTTGCAAGATTTTGAGTTCATTTGCCTTTCAAATAATGTCGTGAAGTTTCAAACTATACTTTTGAATATTTAGGTCAATTTAGACTTAGATTGAGGAGAGATTATTACATGCAGACATCAGACGTGTGATGCCCCATAATCTAAATTAAAAGAATGATTCTTTTATATTTTAATGAACAACAACTAAAACTATCTAATTCCATTTATTATAAATAAACAAATAAAATAATTCTAGAATTCAATGCACACACATATATATTCATTTACCAAAAATCATATACACAACTCTGAATCTATACAATCGTACCACAACTATTCTGTCATGATTATAAAAGAATAACTAAATTAAAAAGAAAAATAACATGAGGAATTCAGGTCAATCTCACACCCTTGATCCTCTGTCATGACATGGAATCATTTAACAACAAATAATGAGCTAAAAAATTTAGTAGCTCATCAAAATCTACAATTGAATTCAAAGCACAACAAAGGAGTAGTACGCATGTCAACATGCAGTCAAATCATAGCAACTACATTCATATGATAACTGAATCAATGCAAAAAATAGTTAAATTATACGATATGAAAGACAGTAAATCAATACGAGTGTCAAATCACTAAAACAATTATCATATCAATACTACAATCAGTAGAGAAATCATATAAAACGATAGAATCACATCATCAATAAAGATTATTGAAATTAAATCAATGTAGTATAATCATATATGATTGTACACATATATATTAGTGCAATATATAAAAAAAATAAAAAATATATATATGATTGTACACATGCTATCAAATTATTCTATATCAATATTAATTCAATATCGTAATCACATGCTCAATATATCATGTATATCACATGCCCAATGAATATATCATATTTTTTTAATAAATAAATTAAAAATAGTATCAATAATAAATTTATATAGTAATATGAATAATGCATCAATAATATTCATTTTTAGTAGTCAAACTAAATAAGTAAGAAGTCATAGCTATTACAATATTTTTCAGTATCGTATCAGTATTAATAAATCGTTAGCTCAATAAACAGAGTTGTCACTCTTTAACCATCGGCTCAATAATCATTTTCTTATAACTCTCAATCAGTGTATCACGTGAATTAGTAGATAATAACACCAAATCACATTATTTAAATAAAAGTTTATTGGCCCATCATCATGAATAGGTTAAACAGTCTTCAACCAACGATTCAACCAGTCTTTATAAATATATATTACACACACATTATTATCACATTGCTATAACAACATTTCTAATCACATATTCATATTCATTTCGCAAACATTATAGCAAATAAAGCATAACTGAGCTTAATTCAGAAAGTGTCAAAATGTCCTAACGGTAGACAAAAAAAATCAGACTGAGAAAAAATTTGGGTTTTTAAAATTTAACAAAATTACCAAATATTGCATAAAATAATATTCTGAAGCTTTAGTTTTTCTGAGTAAGTAAAAAAATCATTGTATTTTCAAAATCACATGTTAAAAAATCCCAAATAAATATTCAAAATATTCATTATCCTAATTTCTATAACATATAACAAGTTTTACTAATACAAATTATTCTCGCTTTTCAGTATCGAAAATACAATTTTGATATGAAAAATATCAAAAACATAAAATCA